ATAGTTCTTATAGCTTAGATGATGTGTCAATTCGGTTCTTATTGTTTCAATTTGCTCAATTTTTTCCCTTAATTTAACGGATTTGTCATTTTAGTTCAATAAATAACGGTTGTTAAGTTTGGTGGACGGAAAATCTAGTTATGTGTCAATTTAGTCCCTATCAAAATTGTGCAAATTAAAATAACAGGGACCAAATTAACACATTGTGTAAACTTTCCGTCTATCAAACTTAACAACCGCTATTTATTGAACTAAAATGACACAATCTGTTAAATTAAGGGACAAAATTGAGAAAATTAAAACAGCAGAGACTAAATTAACACATCATGTAAACTATAAAGATTATTTGCATAATTACCCTTCTTTCTTTTAAGATCCAAAAATGGAAAATGTGTTTGGCTGCCTAAGAAATGATAAAAAGAATTAGCTGGTTTGGATTTGGTTTTCAGAAAATTTTACTTCTTAATTTTTCATATTTTTTTGTTTTCAATAATTTTTTTTAATATTTTAAGTATTTTTTTTAAATTTTTAGACACACTTAACATAAATATACTTAAAAAGTATAATACTTATGAAAAAAATCTTTAAAAAATTCACTAAATATCAAAAATATAAAAAATACTAAAATTCAGTACATTTTTCTTATTTTTGTATATTTACTAATTTTTTAAAATAATTTTTTTATAAATATTTTACTATTTAGATACATCTAAGTAAGGTGTATATACAAAAAGTTAAAAAATTACTTAAAATTTTAAAAATATTCACTAAAACCAAAAAATACGAAAAAATAAAAAACTCAATTTTTAGAAAATTAAATTCAGAAAACTGAAACCAAACACACTTAATTTTTTTGAAATTTAATTTTTTGTTTCTCATATTTTTTTAGTAAATATTTTGAAAATTTTAAATAATTTTTTCATTTTTTTAGATGTACTTTATTTAGATGTATTTAAAAAGTAAAATATTTGTAAAAAAATATTTTAAAAAATCAATAAATACACAAGAATATAAAGATAGAGTGGTGTCAATGGAACTCCTGAATATATATATATATATATATATATATTTGTTTTGTATTTTTGATATTTAGTAAATTTTTTAAAGATTTTTTTCGTAAATATTATACTTTTTAAGTGTATTTATATTAAGTGTATTTAAAAATTAAAAAATTACTTAAAATATTAAAAAAATTTAATAAAAATACAAAAAATAAAAAATCTCAATTTTTTTAAAAATTAATTCCCGAATTTTGAAACCAAAGAAGATAGTCTTTCCTACCTTAATATTTTAAGGTGGAGGAAATATAATTTTATATATATTTTTTACCGTAATAAAGTGACCATATTATTTTTATAAATAAATTTACTTTCATGAGTGTTTATTATAAAATAATTTTTTTTTACATTACATCATATAATTATATATAAAAATTTTGTAAATTTTGTTGTTGTTTATCATTAATAAAGATGGAATATGAATAACGGAGATGTTTTCGAAATCAATAAAGCCAACGGCGAAATCTCAAAGACGACGACTAGTCTGTTTTGTCAAACAAAAAAGAAAAGAAGACGATTAGTGTAGGGGTATGTTTGGTTTGTATTTGAGAGATGTGTTTTAGAGTTAAAAAGTACTCCCTCCGTCCCAAAATAATGGTCCCTTTTGGGGAATTCAACTTTTTTTGGTAGTACAATTATTGTACTTTTAAAAAGTTGATTTTCCAAAATTACCCTTTGATAGTACATTTTTTTGAGAATATCAATGTCATAATTGTACTTTTTATATTATTTATGAATTTAAAAGAAGGGCAAAATGGGAAATTTATATTATTTTTGTACTTGATTTTTGAAGAGGGACTAATATTTTGGGACAATGAAAAATGGAATAAGGGACTAATATTATGGGACGGAGGGAGTACGAAAAGTTGTTTGGTTTGATTTTTTTCAAAAGATGTTTTGAAAAATTATTTTGAGAGAAAGTTTTGGAAAAAGTGATTGATTTGATGTGTGTGAGAGAGATTTGTTTGGAAAACTTGTTTAGTTTACAAGTTTTGAGAAATTTTTTTAAAAAAATTTGTTTAGTTTAATTATTTTTAAAAACTTATTTCTAGAGAAAATTTCTCAAAATTTTTTCAGAAATACAAAATATATCTGAGTTAGCGCGTTTTTATTGATGTACAGAGAGGAAAAGCATCCCAATATATCTTTGTTTTTAAAAATGAATGCCGCGTGTGAATGGCACCACAAATATCTCCATGGTCTATTTGTGAATTTTGAAATATGATTTCACGTCATCATATTTGCTTTACTCTATTGGTGTGCTCAGGTTGATTAGCAATTTATTGAGTCTTACATAAATTATACTTATTTTGTAAAAATATTATGGAATTATTGATTTTTTCAAGGGGTGGAATTAATAATTTTATGAGAGTTAAGATTCACAATCTAATATCAGAGAATTAGATATGAAAATACAATTTTACTTACACGTTATAAGAATAACAAAGTTACTTTTAATATATATTGAAGACTTTGACATAAATTTATAAATTTAATTACAATAAACAAATATCACTATGTTAGTATATCATTTAGGCTCTCAATTCAAAATTTTGCCCTATCTTGTTTATTTATTTGTATTGTTTAATATGTACCATAAGAACACTTATTAATAAGACAAACCTTCCCCCAAATTTTGCCGTCTTAAAAAAAATTAGTTTGTTAATTAATTTGTCTAGGAAATTTTGTATTGATAGTTTGTTTTGGCAATTTTTTCCTCCTTAAAACCATCTTCAATGCTTTGTTTCATCAAATTTGATGAAAAACAATGACTTTTTTTTGACTTTAACTACTTCATTAAACTCATATAAATGAAGGCAATAATACATTTTTCATCAAATTAAGAAAGTTTTTATTTTTTTATCAAATTTCGTAAGTGAGCGTTGATGGACGATTGAGTGAACGATCGGCCGGACGATCAAAATTTAGTCACACAACCTGTTTGTCAATCGAAAATTTACTTTGTGCCTGATGATCGGCTGAATTTGATAAAAACTTTCATTTACCATTAGAGTGCATCATATCAGATCAAGTTTTTTATGAAATTTTTACTTAAATTTAATAAAAATTTTAACTAAAGTATTGGAAGTGCTCTTAACCATCCAAATTCTAACTTGTCATTTTTGATAAAATTAATTCAAAATATATGACAATAAATTTTCCTTAATAAATCACCAGTAAGGAACCGCAATGATTATAGTGGAAAACTTTTTATTTTTTAATCCAAAAGTGGAAAACGTGTTTGGCCGCCTAAGAAATGATAGAAAAGTTGGTGAATTACACACTTATTAATAAGACAAACCTTCCCCCAAATTTTGCCGTCTTAAAAAAAAATTGTTTTGTTAATTAATTTGTCTAGAAAATTTTGGATTGATTGTTTGTTTTGGCAATTTTTTTCTCCTTAAGTCCATCTTCAATGCTTTGTTTCATCGAATTTGATGAAAAACAAATGACTTTTTTTTGACTTCAACTACTTCATTAAACTCATGTAAATGAAGGCAATAATACATTTTTCATCAAATTAAGAAAGTTTTTATTTTTTTATCACATTTCATAAGTGAGCGTTGATGGACGATTGAGTGAACGATTGGCCGGACAATCAAAATTTAGTCGCACAACTTGCTTGTCAATCGAAAATTTACTCTGTGCCTGATGATCTACTGAATTTAATAAAAAGTTTCGTTTACCATTAGAGTGTATCATATCAGATCAAGTTTTTTATGAAATTTTTACTTAAATTTAATAAAAATTTTAACTAAAGTATTGGAAGTGCTCTTAACCATCCAAATTCTAACTTGTCATTTTTGATAAAATTAATTCAAAATATATGACAATAAATTTTCCTTAATAAATCACCAGTAAGGAACCGCAATGATTATAGTGGAAAACTTTTTATTTTTTAATCCAAAAGTGGAAAACGTGTTTGGCCGCCTAAGAAATGATAGAAAAGTTGGTGAATTACACACTTATTAATAAGACAAACCTTCCCCCAAATTTTGCCGTCTTAAAAAAAAATTGTTTTGTTAATTAATTTGTCTAGAAAATTTTGGATTGATTGTTTGTTTTGGCAATTTTTTTCTCCTTAAGTCCATCTTCAATGCTTTGTTTCATCGAATTTGATGAAAAACAAATGACTTTTTTTTGACTTCAACTACTTCATTAAACTCATGTAAATGAAGGCAATAATACATTTTTCATCAAATTAAGAAAGTTTTTATTTTTTTATCAAATTTCATAAGTGAGCGTTGATGGACGATTGAGTGAACGATTGGCCGGACAATCAAAATTTAGTCGCACAACTTGCTTGTCAATCGAAAATTTACTCTGTGCCTGATGATCTACTGAATTTAATAAAAAGTTTCGTTTACCATTAGAGTGTATCATATCAGATCAAGTTTTTTATGAAATTTTTACTTAAATTTAATAAAAATTTTAACTAAAGTATTGGAAGTGCTCTTAACCATCCAAATTCTAACTTGTCATTTTTGATAAAATTAATTCAAAATATATGACAATAAATTTTCCTTAATAAATCACCAGTAAGGAACCGCAATGATTATAGTGGAAAACTTTTTATTTTTTAATCCAAAAGTGGAAAATATCTAAAAATTAAAAAAATTATTTAAAATATTAAAAAAATTCAATAAAAATTAAAAAACATGAAAAGCAAAAAATTTTAATTTTCTAAAAAGTAAATACTAAGTTATGAAACTAAACAATAAGACAGTGGAATGTGGATTGATTTTTTAGTTATTTAATTTGGAGTTAAAAAGTTTCGTTTAAAATAGATTTTTTTTAAATTTTTATCAGAAAAAAATAAAATAATTATAATTTCAATATGGAACTTTATCTTGTTAATTTTTTAACTTATTTCGTAATTTTATGATTAAAATAGCCTTTGCTATGCTAAACGAGTGCTAAGTTAAAAAGTTTGGATATCAGTGTGCACTCACACGATAGAAGAAGAGAGACTTCTTTGTCTACCAGACCCCCCAAAAAAAAAAAAAAAAAAAAAAAAGGCAGAAAGAAGAGAGACTGAGGGACTTGGTTCTGATTCTAACTCCTAAAGTTATGGATACATGTACACCATCGGCTAGAGTTAAGCCTCTCCAAACCTGATCAGTTTCTTATAACTTTTTCTCCTACAAAGTTGATCTTCAATCTGGGGTGAGTTGCCTCTTTCATTGCACCATCTATCATCTTTGCTAAAAGAAGTTTTTTTTGTTTTTTTTTTCTCTTTCTATAGCAGCATCTTCAATACCTACTCTTTTTTATTTTTTTTTTAATTTTATTTTTGTTAAAATATAGTTAAAAGCTTGATTGTAACAGTCCAAGCTCTTATTTTTTAATCAATTTTTTTTTGAAAAATTCTAAACGTAGCTGTTTAGTAATTTTTTTATGAAAGAAAACGATCTTCCATCCTTATTTTTTTGGGATAAAATTTCATTAAATGTAAGTAAAAATATGATTGTTAAAATTTGGTAAAAGATTTGGTTCATCTATGTTTTAGTAAAAAATTGGCCTCCTTTGATTTGATATAGATTTGATGAAATATTTGAAACTTAGCCATTTTTTCATCGAATTTGATTTTGATGAAAAAATTGATAAATAATTAGACATGCTCTCAATAATGATATGATTATATGCCTATCTTTGTACAAGATATATATATATATATATATATGGGAAAGACTATACTTTCTTAGTCATAATTTTAAAAAATAAATTCATAATCAAATAACACATTAACCATAATTAAAAATATTATGAGTCATAATTAAAATATTATTATAATTAAAAAAATTAATCATAATTAAAAAAAAATAGTATAACTAGATGCATATGGAACAACCCTTTCAAAATGTGTATATAATAAAATTTCCATATATATATATATATGTATGTATGTATTATACTTCACTTGATCTGCTGTTGCACTGGTTTTTTAGGAGAGAGTTTATGTTTGGCTGAACTTTTTCCACTGAGAAAAAGAGATCAAGATTTTCTAATAGCATGTGAAATTGAACTATAAAAATATCAAAATCAAATAGGGGAAATTATAACATATCATTTAAACAAATCATTGATACCCAAAATCTTAATGAGTTGAGGAAGGTTACTAAAGTAATCATTTCTTCCTCTAGTCTAATAACATTTTGGCAACTATAAATCCAACAAAATCTCTTCCCCAAATTATGGGCACCATAGAATTTATTTAATTTCTTGTTTAAGATACCCAAACAATATTTTGAGAGTTGATAATCTTCTTATTAGATTCCTTGTAACGGATTGATTATTTGATTCTATTTGTGTAATTATTTATTTATTTATTTATGAATTTTGGGAGCAAGGATCCTCTACAGTGATTTTTGCCTAAAGTTTCCTAAAGTGCTTGCCAGTAAATCTCAACCACACAATATAGCACTCTAAGAAACTTTAGGAAAATTTCACTCTAGAGGATCCTTGGTGGAATTTTGGGTGTTCAACACATAAATGGCAAGGAAATTCCAGTATGCAAAATATCAGAAAGAAACATGAAGCTAAATAAAATGACACAAGTTATATGTCACGTACTGCGTCTTCTGGGTTGGTCCTTGGGCATAATGCATGGGGTATGCAATATCACTCGTGGAGCTGGCTTCTCGGGTGGATGACAAGCGCCCAGTCCGTGACATATAGCTGTCTTCACTACTGACTGAATCTGAAAGATATAATATAACCTTTAACTGGATACAAATTGCAGGCAAAATGAAGATACCAGATCCAGTGGTCAATGTCCTTGTGCAAGATTTGATACATCAACTCTACACCGAAAGTAATTATATTCTTGAATTCCAGACTCACTTTGCGGAGATGAAGACTCAACTTAACCATATGCAATCGTTCATTAGCGATGCAGACAGCATTAAGGAGAAGCATAAAACTGTCAAGACTACTTTGATTGATCTGAGAGAACTCACTTATGAGGCTGATGATTTGCTGATTGATTGCCTAATCCGAGCTGACTATCATACGAGGAGAGTGAGTTCCTCTTGCTATCATCGTTTCTCTCTTCGTCAAATTTACTTCCATTATCAGACCGGAAAAAAGTTGTCAGGCATTAATAACAGAATCGCCAAGATGCGCACCAACTTGAGTGACTATGTCACTCCAATTCTGGGGCGAAGCAGCGATGAAGATGCTGGCAACAGAACTATAAGGTGGACTTCACAGGTTTACGATCAGTCCGGGATTGTGGGATTGACAGAAGATACTAGCAGAATCAATGGATGGATTTTGGCCAGCAATGAGGTTTTGCATCGGGTTGGGATTGTGGGAATGGGGGGATTGGGCAAAACCACCATCGTGCAAAAAATCTTCAACGACACGCATGTCATTGCTCGCTTTGAAAAGAGAATTTGGGTGTCAATTTCTCAAACATTTAGTGAGCTTGAAATCATGAAAAGCATATTGAGACAGGTAAGAGAAGATGATAGTGGATCTGATACAGGTCAAATGTTGCACAGAATTCACCAATTGCTCTCTCACAAATCGTACTTGATTGTCATGGATGATGTGTGGAGCACGGCCAATGGTTGGTGGGATCGGATCTCTAATGGGCTAGCAAAGACACCGGGCCATAGCAGTTGCATCATAATCACATCGAGGAACGAGGAAGTTGTGAAGAATATGGGAGTTGTGGATGCACGAATTCACCGGCCAAGGCTTCTAGACGAGGAAGAGAGTTGGTCTTTGTTCTGCAAAGTGGCTTTCATGGCAACAAAAGGGATATGTAAGAATCTTCAAATAGAAGGAATGGGGAAGGAAATTGTGAAAAAATGCCGAGGTCTTCCACTCGCTATCAAGACAACAGGAGGGTTATTGTACTCGAAAACATCTTTCAGCGAGTGGAAACGCATATGCGATAATTTCCACGAAAAATTAGCGACAGAAGGGAATAGCTCTGTAATGGCTTCTTTGCAGCTGAGCTATGATGAACTCCCTGCTCATCTCAAGCATTGCATACTATGTTTCTCAATTTATCCCGAAGACCATGAAATAAATGTTGAGCAGTTGGTTCGGTGGTGGATAGGGGAAGGTTTCGTGCACGAGAGGAGATCAGAAACCGCGACAGAAACAGCTTATAGGTTTCTGTCGGAACTAATCGGTAGATGCCTCGTTGATGTCATGCGAAGGAGGAATTATGATGGGAGAGTTTATAGCTGCAAAATGCACGACATGGTTAGGGACTTGACGATTAGGATTGCAAGGGAAGAGGCATTCACCAGCTTTGATGATGGTGGCAGGCAGATACCCACAATGGATTCTCGGCGTTTGGGCGTTACCAATGAAATGAAATTCCATTCCCTGGAAAATAATTCGAAGATAAGAGCTCTGTTACTCATGGATAGTCGATCAATTAGACTTAAAAGGAATGCTGGTTTGGCCAAAGTAATGTCTCTCAGGGTCTTAGACCTCTCACATGTTAAGTTGGAAAACATTTGTGTATATGATTTCTGGGGTTGGATTAGTTCCTTGAAACGCCTCGCTTGTTTGAACCTATGTGACGTTGCAAGCCTAATCGAAGTGCCAGACTCAATTGGAAAGCTTTGGAGCCTCCAGATTTTGATCCTAGCAGAATGTAGTAACTTGCAGAAATTGCCAGCATCGATCACAACGCTACACAAGCTCATTGTTTTGGATCTGGGGAATTGTCCGGCTCTCAAGTACTTACCGCAGGGGATTTCGAGCCTCTCTAATCTTCAAGAGCTCTATGGATTCAAACCGGCAAGTCTTGCACACACCGAAAGCTGTCATTTTGGCGAACTTAAGAATTTCATTGACCTTCGAGTGTTACATTTAGACATAAACCAAGAAAGCATAATTGAGGACGAGGAGCTCGGAGCACTGGCAGATCTGCAAAAACTGAGGGTGTTATTGATCAATACCGAAAATTGCGAGGACATGAATATTCTAAATAAGCTCAACAAGCTCACCCCTCCTCCGCATCTTGAAGAGCTGTACCTTGGGCATTATCATGGAGAAGCTACACCAGATTGGATAAACCCTAACTCACTTCCTGAATTACAATATCTTTGCCTTGAGTATGCGAGGCTTGTTGATATGAGTCCGCTGTTTTGGAGCAGTGATGGTGGGAATTCATGGAAAGTTGAAGGGCTGTGTTTGAAGTTCTTGCCTAGATTGCAGGTGGAGTGGAGTAGGGTGCAAAGTGTGATGCCTTCACTGAGGTACTTGGAAGTTAGCCACTGTTATATGTTGCAGTCATTCCCCTGTGATGTTGTGAATCTTGGATCATGGATGAAAAGAGACGAAGAAAGCGAGGATGGCAACTTGATAGTTGATACCATCAATGCCCAGCGGAGTGTTATGAATAATTAATGTGCGACTCAGATTTGTTCGCAACTCGCATTGATTTTTCGAGATACAATATATGTTACTGTATTTGTTTGTGTAGTTACAGGATGATGTTTTTAGGTTTGATCTCTATGAATTGGTATTGTATTGTATTGTTCTATTATATATATTGGTCTGAAATTTGGTAGTTTGTTTGTAATGGGTTTGCTGACTTATTTGGGCTTTGCGAGATATGAAGCATATTATATTGGATTGTAAAAATGTAACCCATATTGGTAAAGTCGAATACAATCATGTACCGTGCTTGGTGGAGACCACGGGTGTGTTTGGTTTGTATTTTAAAACACATTTTTGGAAGAAAATTTTCAAAGATTTTTAATTTTTTTTTTTAAATTACTTCTCTCTTTATTATACATCAATCAATTATTTTTTCTCCCTCATATCTCCTTCTCAATCATTTTTTCTATCACATATATTTACTCAACTATAACAAAATATCAAATCATTCCAAACTTTCAAATTCTAAAATTATTTTCAAAATATACAACTAATGAAACTAAAAAAATTTCTAAAGTCTCTCTAAATTTTTTTTTTTGAAAATTTGTCTTAACACATAGGCCAAACACACCTCACATTTCTGGTTGTTTTGTAAAAATGATTAAAAGTTGGTTTTTTAATGTTTTTTAAAATGTATAAAAATTATGAAAGATGATATAATACAAAATAAATTAACTTAATTTTCAGTTGAACTTTTTTTTTCTAAAATTTATTTAATTAAATATAGTAAGATCACTCAAATATATTATATTATTTCAATACCCATCTAAATTAATATCATAGTATTTAATTGTTAATTTTTAACATATTTAACATTATTTACCATTTTTTGTTATTTGTCCATGCATAGCATGGGTTATTGCTAGTTGTAAACGTAAACAAAAGGGGTGGTCGAGTTTAAATCATGAAAGTGAGGCAAACTAAACAATAATAAATAATAAAAAAAATAATGATTTATTTTATAGTGTTAAACGTATGAGGATTATTAAACTCGTAACCAAAGAGTGTTAGAATAGCGCGAGAGTTGTTTGCATACTCATGTGAGGGAGATTAAGAACTATTTTAAGGAGATGGTTATAATTAATTTTTTGATTAAAAATTGATTATAATTATTTTTTTATGAGAGAGGGAAGTGGGTTATAATTTGGGAAGTGGATTATAACCCATTTCCCGAAAGGCCCTTAATACAACCCTGCAGTCAAACACGCGTGTTGAGCTCCCAATCCCATCACCAATTCCGGTTCAACCCAACGGTTGAATCGGTTATCCATCCACCCAGTTCTTTTTTCGATTCACTTAACGACCCAATTTTTTAAACATTGGTCTCCATGGTCTATTTGTGAATTTTGAATTTTGATTTTTGATTTCATGTCATCATATTTGCTTTACTCTATTGGTGGTGAGATTGATTAGCAATTTATTGAGTCTCACATAAATTATATTTATTTTGTAAAAATATTATGGGATTATTGATCTTTTCAAAGGGTAGGATTAGTAATTTTACGGAAGTTGAGATTCACAATCTAATATCAGAGAATTGGAGATAAAAATACAATTTTACTCCTACTTTATATGAATAACAGAGTTACTTTTAAAATACATCGAATGCTTTGACATAAATTTATAAATTTAATCACAATCAACAAATATCACTATATTAGTACATCATTTAGGCTCTCAATTCAAAATTTTGCCCTATCTTATTTATTTATTTGCATTGATATGTACGTTGAGGACAGTTATTAATAAGACAACCCTTCCACCCCCAAAAAAAAAAAAAAATTGCCATCTTAAAAAAAATGTTTTGTTAATTGGTTGATTTAGGATATTTTGTATTGATCGTTTGTTTTGGCAATTTTTTCCTACTCAGACCATCTTAAACGTTTACTCAGATGTTTCATCAAATTTAAATTTGATAAAAAAATTCAAAATTTTGCCCTATCTTATTTATTTATTTGCATTGATATGTACGTTGAGGACAGTTATTAATAAGACAACCCTTCCACCCCCAAAAAAAAAAAAAAATTGCCATCTTAAAAAAAATGTTTCGTTAATTGGTTGATTTATGATATTTTGTATTGATTGTTTGTTTTGGCAATTTTTTCCTACTCAGACCATCTTAAACATTTACTCAGATGTTTCATCAAATTTAAATTTGAAAAAAAACAGTAACTTTTTCCACTCTAACTATTTCATTAAACTCATATCAAATAAAGGCAATAATATATTTTTCATCAAATTAAGAAATTTTTTATCTTTTCATCAAATTTCACAAATGACCTTTGGTGGACAATTGGATGGACAACCGGTTAGACGACCAGATTTTGGCCGCACAACTTGCTTGTCAATCAAAAATTTACTCTATGCCGGATGACCAGCTGAATTTGATGAAAAGTTTCGCTCACCATTAGGGTGCATCATATCAGATTAAACTTTTTATTAAATTTTTATTTAAATTTGATAAATTTTTTGAGTAAGTATTGGAGATACTCTTAAGTATCCGAATTCTAACTTGTCTTTTTTGATAAAATTAATTCAAAATATATGACATTAAATATTCCTCAATAAATAACCAGTAAGAAACTTCTTCACAGCAATGTTATAATTATGGGATGAAAATGAAATACTTTTTTCTTTTTTGGGTAAATTATACAAACAGTTATTGTAATTTACATGATGTGTTAATTTGGTCCCTGTTATTTCAATTTGCTCAAATTTTTCCCTTAATTTAACGGAGTGTGTTATTTTAGTTCAATAAATAACAGTTGTGAAGTTTGGTTGATAGAAAATCAAACTATGTGTTAATTTGATCCATATAGTTTACACAATGTGTCAAATTGGTCCTTGTCAAAATTGCGCAAATTAAAACAACATAGATCAAATTGACACATTGTGTAGACTTTCCGTCTATTAAACTTAACAATCATTATTTATTGGATTAAAATAACACAATCTGTTAAATTAAGGGATAAAATTGAGCAAATTAAAACAACAGGAACCAAATTGACACATTGTGTAAAATATAAGGATTATTTGCATAATTTACCCTCCTTTCTTTTAAGATCCAAAAGTGGAAAAATTGTTTGGCCGCCTAAGAAATGATAAAAAGAATTGGCTGGTTTGGTTTTGGTTTTAAAAAAATTTAACTTTTTAATTTTTAATTTTTTTTTGTTTTCAATGATTTTTTTAAATATTTTAAGTATTTTTTTTTTAAATTTAGACACATTTAACATAAATATACTTAAAAAGTATAATACTTGTGAAAAAAAAATCTTTAAAAAATCACTAAATACCAAAAATATAAAAAAAAACTAAAATTTAGTACATTTGTCGTATTTTTGTGTATTTTCTAATATTTTAAAATAAATTTTTTTACAAATATTTTACTATTTAGATACATCTAAGTAAGGTGCATATAAAAAAATAAAAAAAATGCTTAAAATTTTAAAATATTCACTAAAACCAAAAAAATACGAAAAATAAAAAATTCAATTTTCAAAAAATTAAATTCAGAAAACTGAAACCAAACATACTGAATACCATCTCATTGTGTTTGGTTTCAGTTTTTTGAATTTAATTTTTTTGAAATTTAATTTTTTGTTTTTCACATTTTTTTAGTAAATATTTTGAAAATTTTAAATAATTTTTTTTTTCACTTTTTTAGATGTATCTTACTTAGATACATTTAAAAAGTAAAATATTTGTAAAAAATTATTTTAAAAAATCAATAAATACATAAGAATATAAAAAATGTATTGAATATATATATATATTTGTATTTTTGGTATTTAATAATTTTTTAAAGATTTTTTTCGTAAATATTATACTTTTTAAGTGTATTTATGTTAATTGTATCTAAAAATTAAAAAATTATTTAAAATATTAAAAAAGTTTAATAAAAATACAAAAAATAAAAAATCTCAATTTTTTAAAAAGTGATTTCCGAATTTTGAAACCAAAGAAGATAGTCTTTCCTACGCTAATATTTTCAGACGGAGGAAATATAATTATATACATATTTTTTTACAGTTATAAAGTGACCATATTATTTTTATAAATAAATATATACTTTCATTAGTGTTTATTATAAAATAAATTTTTTTACATTACATCATATAATTATATATGAAAGAGAGACTTATTTATAAGTCTTATTTCAGACACTCATGTTAGGTTAAGTCTTGTGTAATTTTTTTATAAAGTTTCAAGTTCTATTTAGATAGAAATATATTCTACAAGATCCTATGAGTTGTAAATAAATGGTATTAATATACTATTATATACTATAATGGCAAAACCATATATAGGAAATTGAATTTAAAAAATAAAAAACTTAATAAGTTTGCAAAACGTAACGTGACATGTTACGTTACGTATATGTAGATGTTATGTTACGTTTATGTAGGTGTCACGCCACGTTACGTTTATGTATTGTCTCATCTGATATGGTCACGTTACGTTATGTTTATGTAGGTGTCACGTTACGTTTCGCAAACTTAATCTATGGTAACATTCAATTTCCTATATAGGAAATTGAATGCTATCATGGATCATATTTATATGAATGTAAATTTCAAAATACACGAACAAGTAACATTTTCACATTCAATTTAAAAAATCAAAAACCTAATAAGTTTACGAAACGTAACATGACACGTTACGTTACGTTTATGTAGGTGTCACGTCACGTTACGTTTCGTTTATGTAGATGTCACGTTACGTTTCGTAAACTTAATCTATAGTAACACTCAATTTCATATATATGATTTTATCATTATTTATAATATTAACAACTAATATTGAGGGTAAATGTGTTAATCAATTTCATACAGGATTTATAAGAACATAATTTTTTTAGTAATATCATATGTAACATAAGTCTCCTTAATAAAACTTATAGATAATTTTATCTATATAAAAATCTTGTAAATTTTGTTGTTGTTTATCATTAATAAAGATGGAATATGAATAAAGATGGAATATGAATAACGGAGATGTTTTCGACATCAATAAAGCCAATGGCGAATTCTCGAAGACGACGACTAGCCTGTTGAGTCAAGAAAAAAAAAAGAAAAGAAAAAAAAAGTAGACGATTAGTCTATATATCTGAGTTAGTGCGTTTTTATTGCTATATAGAGACGCAAAGCATCCCAATATAACTTTATTTTTTAAATTGAATGTGTGTGAATGGCACCACAAATATCTCCATGGTCTATTTGTGAATTTTGGAATTTGATTTCATGCATTCATATTTGCTTTA